TCTTTCAAGTCCAAATGGCTAGAATATACAGCTTCAATAGTCTCTAAACAATCATGGGATACAGGTTCCCCCGTAACTCCACTAAGAAATGAGGCTGAATTAATGATGTTTGTTACTAGTATTTCTACATCATCCTGTTCCACTAAAATAGCTTGATACTTCAGAAATCGCTGAGGGGAAAGCCAACGTCCCCCTTTCACTTCCAACACCGTGGAGACTGTGTGGGATACTAGTACAGTCATCTTTTGCCCCATTGTAAACTTTCGGGCTTCTTGGATGTTGATTACTAGGGCAGCTACAGCCCTTAGGCATCCCGGCCAGCCTTTGCTTACTTCATCAAGCTGTTTAGAGAAATAAGCTACCGCTCTTCGGTATGGCCCAAGGTTCTGAGCTAACACCCCCAAAGCTATTCCCTGTTTCTCATAGGAGAATAGCAAAAAGGGCTTTGTGACATCTGGGAGCCCCAAGGCTGGGGCTCTCATTAGCTCTTGTTTTAACTGTTGGAATGCCTTTTTAGCCTCCCCGTTCCATATTAAGTCTTTGGGGTGGGATTTTATCAGTGCTTAGAGTGGTTTTACCAGTATTCCATAGTTGGGTATCCATAAATGGCACCATCTGGTCATTCCGAGGAATGTTCGAAGCTCCTTAGATGTACGCGGCTCGGGGGTCTGGCAAATAGCCTCCTTTCGGGCGGTTACCAATGTCCGTGTCCCTGCAGCAATTCCATATCCCAGGTATGTTACCTGTTGTTGGGCCACTTGTGCTTTCTGTGGAGAGACTCGATAGCCATTAAGCCCAAGGAAGTTTAGTAAGCTTATTGTCCATCTCAAGCATGCCTCTTTTGTCTTGGTAGCTATTAAAAGATCATCTACATACTGTAATAGTACTCCTTCGTCAGGTGGACGTTCCCATAGCTCCAAATCCTTGGCCAATTGATTCCCAAATATTATGGGGCTGTTTTTAAATCCTTGTGGGAGTACAGTCCAAGTGAGTTGGGATTTTCGTCCTGTACTGGGGTTTTCCCATTCGAATGCGAACAGCGGCTGACTCTCTGCTGCAAGTGGCAGGCAGAAGAAGGCATCTTTTAAATCCAGGACGGTAAAATATGCTAGTTCAGTAGACAGTTTGGTAAGCAGGGTATAAGGGTTTGCTACTAAAGGATACAAATCCTCTACTATTTTGTTAACTGCCCTCAACTCCTGTACTATTCAATAACTACCGTCAGGTTTTCTTACTGGTAATATCGGTGTATTGTATTTTGATTCACATTCCACCAATAGGCCGTATTTCATAAATCAGTCAATTATTGGTTGTATTCCTTCCCTATCTTCCATCCTTAATGGGTACTGTTTAATCCTTGGGGGGTTGGCTTCCTAATTTAACCTTTATGACCACAGGAGATGCATTCCTAGCTCGCCCCGGGGTTTCAACTTCCCATAGTCCTGGAAAAACCTGATCTTTTATATCCTCTGGGATCTCTGTGCCTACCGGGGTAGTTATTAAGGCCAAGCTAAGTAATTCTATAATGGAATCGTCCTTTACTCTGAACTTCATTTCCCCTGCCTCAAATTTTATTTCTGCATCCAATTGTTCCAGTAAGTCTCGTCCCAGAAGAGATTTTGGCGAATTTGGCATATACAAAAATCTGTGTATTCCCACCTGTTTTCCTAACTTAAATTTTAAAGGTTTGAGAAAATATGCCTTTTCTGGATGACCCGTGGCCCCTTTTACCACGTTATATTCTTGACTGAGTGGTGTTAAGTATTCATTCAAGACTGAATAAGTAGCCCCCATATCTATTAAAAATTCCATACTCTGCTGTTTGTTCCCAGCTTGATTTTAACCAGTGGATCCGCTAGGGTGGATTTCCCCAGTCCCCATCATTGT